ATGCCAATTGCTTAGCAAATCACTTATTTCCCAGAACAGTAAGACACAGGGATCAGTTATCATGTTTACAACTGAAGATGACTACATCGCCATTGCGCAATGTTGTGCTCAACTACTTTAGATGATTCATCAATTTACTTATTATGTTTTTTCATTTAAACCTGTTAAAATTTTCGGTGATAATTCTAGTGCTATATTTCATTGCAAAAACCTTGTGAATCATTCTAGAGCAAATCATATAGATATCAAGCATCATTTCATTAGAGACCACGTTGTATTGAATTATCATTTGTTAACACAAAAAATCAGCTAGCTGATATTTTTACTAAGCCTCTTCTAGAAGATAGGTTTAAAACCCTTAGGGAATTACTTGGCATTATTACCTTTTCCAAATGAGGCTTTAATTCTTTTTATTAATTTTTTGTTTTACTTAAAAGATTGCGTACCAGAATAACTTTGGTGAAAAAATCTTTTGTTACTATGTTACCTTATTATGACTGCCTGTTGCATTAATTATGCTCTTCCGTTTTAGTTCTTTCCGCCTTTTTGGCTTATCGCGATGGTAATTGAATCAATCAGTTAGATCTCTTTCCTTTCTATGCCCCGTCAGTCATGTCGATTAAGTATCATATCTTCACTCCTTTCTCCACCTTTATAAGTACGCCTTTCTCTTGAAAGTTCTCTACATACTCCCTTCAACCATCATCTCAAATGGCTAAAGCCTCAAGAAATCCTCTGGTTCCACCCGAAAAAGCACTTGGTCCAAAGCAAAAACCCCTTCTCAACCATCAGAACCAGTCACTATAGGGTCTGAACATTCTGAGGGTTTTTCGTAGTTTCAAGAGATCATCTTTGATAATGCTCAAGCAGAGAGGGCACTAGGGAAGCTTCCCATGGAAGAAGGAACAACACATACACTCCGAAGAAGGTGAAGATAGACCTAGACAATGCAGTGGAGTCCGAACTAAACTATTGGGATTCTCCCAATAGAGATAAGTTTGTCTCCTTCAAAGGGAAGACAATCGCTCATGGAAGGATTATCAATTTGGAAGAGATGGAAGCCCTAAACTGCAAGGTCAGCGCATTATTCTAGATTGCTCTACTTTTGATACACTTTTTAAGTGTAAATTTTTTGGATACTCTGCTTTATTTAAGAACTAGTAAATTACACCGCGCTTCGCGCAGTTATAAAGAACTTATTAAATTTATGAGCTTTTATTTCATCATTATATTCAAAAACATATTTTAATGATTCTTTTTAAAATAATGGATTTCAAGTTTTAATCCATCTTATTATTGACACCTGTAGTATTTTGCATTAATTCTTCATGACAAAGACATGGTTCTTAGGAAATTAGTATGTCAATCCAAAAGGAAAACAAGGCTATTTAAATTAGCACCATCGAAATAGTACCTATTGTTCTTATTTTGTAGTAATGTTCTTTTATTATTTTATTCCCCATAGTGGCAACATTATACATTTATCGAAAAGTTGTATGAATATTTGTCTGCAGTATACCCATTACTTTTATGTTTAAGTGTTATTTTATTGTTTCATTCTCTATTGTAGTACATTTATATTTTAGGAATGTGTTTTTGTCTGCCAGATTTATTTTTTATAAATTGTATATTCATCAATGTCGGGACTTTTTCTCCTATTTAAGGTCTATATGTAATCAAGTTATTCTATACATGTAGCTTAAGGCATTTGTTTCTACCAAAGAAATGAAAAAGTAGCAATCACTATAGCACTGTATGCTTCTTTCGTGGTTTGTGCAATCATTCGTGTAATTATTCTAATTAGAAAATAGGAGCACTACCATCACATATCTGTCTTTCTTCAAGGAAAAGAGAGTAAATTAATATCTAAATTTGTCATCTGATTCCACAACAAACAACATTACCATTCCAAATATGACATGAAAAACATAACTTTGGGGGAAAATCTTTATGACAAAATATGAATTTATTTCGGCAAAATGGAGGAATGTCATAAAGTGTCATTAACTTATAAATTAAAATTTAACAGTTTGAGAGTTATGGATAAGGAAGTTGAAGAGGTGAGTTATGTAGCGGTACCTTTGATGTGTGTATATATATATATATATGAGTTTGTTGGCAGAATTCAAATGGTACAACATTACCATATATTAATAATGGTTAACTATAAGTAACAAAAGAAATAATAGAGACAATGAGTTACTTTCGCAACGGTTTGGAAACAAAACGATTTATGGCGAAGAGAAACCAAAATAACACGTTAGAACATGACTTTTGGACTTTCTATTAATTTAATTAATAGAATAAATGAAAAATGAGTAAGAAAAGGCAAAACAGGGAGAAAAAAAATAAATATAATCCTTGGCTTTAGAGAGGTGCCACATCACTTTTCTAAGTCCCTCCTTTATATATATATATAGACTCTTGGCCTGACGATTTTGAAGTGCCTTTTGAACAAGCTAAGGAATGTCTTGCTTATTCACTGTCAGATCCCCTACCAAACCAATTAGGACCCAGTGACATTAATTTTGAAACTCGTATTCTTGCCCACATTGTTACCACCACCATTCTCCCTAGAACTGGTTCTTACTCCACCCTGTCTCAAAGGGACACCTTTCTGGTCTATTGCCTTCTTACCAAGCACAAAGTGAAGCTATCCTCCTGGGTAATAAACTTTATAATTGAATGTGCTGAAGATCCCTCAAGCCTACCTTACAGGATGGTCATTACTCACTTGCTCAAAGCCTTTAATATCCCTCTTTCTAACTATCCCTATGTATTTGTTTCCAAGTCCTATAACAACATGGCATTTTTAAGTATGGGATATGTCGCAGTGGATGGTACTTGGGTAAAGAAGAAGGAAGTTGAAGCAAAAGTAATCCCCTCTAGTTCCAAGGTAAATGTTGATACTCCTCAGACTGCCATCAATAATGCAGAGCTGTTTGAAAAGATAACTGCATTTGATGACAAGCTGAGTGCCGCCAAAGAACCACTACTGGCCACTCGGACTTTAGTTGGAGATGTCTATGCAATTGCAAATGAAACAGGTTCCGATGTGTCCAAGTTAAGAGTTATGGTATTGAAAACAGCAGAAAATGCAGTGAAAGCTTTCAAGGAGGTACGTGATTGAGGGAGTCTCAATCACTTTGAATGCTACTTTTGATCGCCTCAAAGAAGTTATCTGCAACACCCTTACCTATTTCCTCCATCGTTAAATTTGTGTTGGTTGTTTAAACAATTTCTTTTACTCTTTATGGATAATTTTGAATTTTTTGAGGATACTCTATGGATGACTGTAATTATGTAGACTGTTTGTTAATCTTATCTGCTTGTAGTTAATCCTGCTTAGCCCTCTTTTTCATTAATGGGAAAAGGGGAGAAGTAGAATACATTTTACTAGCTTCGCAGGATGCATGATGTATTGTCGACTGGTAGAATACATTTATACTAACTTGTAGTATATGACTCAGTCAACTGACTAAAGACAACTATTGGCATCTGAATGAGGGGCAGTCCAGATGAGGGGGTGTCAACTCCAAGTTCTCAACTTACCTCACACCAAATTGAGGGGGAGCTAACTAGAATAGGGAAGTTAAATGAATTAAGTTTTTTATTTGTTATCATAAAAAAAAGGGAGATTGTTAGATTTGGATTTTAATGATAGACAATAACTTAATTCTACTTGCAGGAAACCAATCCCACGGGATATGGAAAAGACTCTAACAGGAGATCTAGAAGCACAAATCAAGGAGGCAAGAATAAAGTTGTAGTCGTGCGCTCTATGGAAATTGGATATTCGAATCAACTATTTACGGAAGGCATAAATCAATCAGCATAAGATGATCAATCAATTAATATAAAAGATTAATCATGTGGATATTCGAATCAATCATTTATGGAAGGCATGAGTCAACCTGTATAGAAGATCCTCTGAAAGTATTCTCTCTAACGACTAACAAGGAAAAAGAAATTAAGGGAGCAGTAAAGGAAGAGTCTATTCTATTTTCGATGTATAGAAGATCCTCTGAGAATATTTTCTCCAACGACTTACAAAGAAAAGGAAATCAAGGATGCAGCGAAAGGAAGAGTCCTTCCTATTTCTGGAATGAAATCATCTTGATTTATGATGAAAAGCAACTCCCTTGGGCTGCTGCTCAATCACACTATCATGCCATGAAGAATGGGGACCGACTCACCATATATATTCTACGGAAGACGCCAAGGATCCATATACTTCGATCAAACCAAAACCAATCTCTTTGTTCTACTTCAAACAAGCACTATAGTGTGTCATGGATTTTTTGTGTAACTAAGAAGAGAAGAGAGAGAGAAAAGTACACTGGTACGCATTGTATCAACTGTAAGAGAGAAGAACAAAGTGAACGAAAGGTTGTTGGTATATAACAACATCAAATCATCTGTACTAAGTCACTTCATATTTGAAAGAGAGCACCCTTGCAATCCAAAGGGACTGGACGTAAGATTCACTCTGAAACCGAACCAGTATAAAAATAGACTATGTTATTTACTTTCTGCAATTTTCTTTCTTATATTTAGTTTCAAGAATATCAGTTGACGAGAACGCAAGTTAGTTGATTACCTCGCAAAAGAAAAAAAAATTCAACTCACCCCTTCTTGCACTTTCGCAATTTTTTTTTTTGTTTTTTTCCCTTTTCTTTCTTTCTTTCTTTCTTTTTCTCTAGGTTCAAACTTTAGAAATTCTTAGCTTTAAATATAATAATGCATTCTTACTTTTAAAATTCTGAATATGCCTCTAACCATTGATAAAGGACAAATGTATGATCTCTAACACACAACACTTGTGTATTAAACTCTTCAATATATTTTAAGATCAATAAGTGGCCTACAAGTTCCTGAAAATTTCATTTATCTTTTTAATTTCCATTAATTTAGGATGAACTTGTAAATAAATGAAAAACGATGAGAAATAAAAAATGTGAGACAATTAATAAAGAAGAAATACAAATGGGAGATAACTAAATAAGACATTATCTTCTATATATCGAGATGGCACATACTACAATTACATACTGCTGGCCTAGAGTATTGGATTCAAAAGCAAAACAGGTATAGAAAAAAAAAACACAACAACTCGTACGAAATACAAATGGATCGTAAGGTAATAGATGATCCCATTTTATTCTTCTCCTCATCATTATTGCACTACGAACCAAAATGCTGGCAGTGTAAATTTGATTGTTCATCCCTCTTACTCAATCCTGCATCACAAAAATAAGCAGCACAAATCAATACACAAACTGTGACGTCTAAAACTATTATTTTCATTTTCATCCTCTTATTAAATGGACAATACTCCAAGTGAGAAAACATTGACAAGTTAAACTTCCTGTTTACACCATTATGCAGAAAGGTGATAAATAATTACTCGCTCCATCTCATAGTTTTTATTCCATTTCACTATTTAATGGCGAGTTTTAGTCCTATCTCATAATATGGCTTCAACTTGATTGATTTGCAGACATTAGACTGTTGTCAATAATTATATTAATGTGCTAACCAAAAGGAAACAAGTAAGCACATGAGCATGGAACTAAGCAATAGTGATGTAAGGGCAGTCAAGCAAGTCTTTGAGCTTCCTCTATGTGTGTGGGGTCCTAGGACAAGCCGGACCATGTTAGGTCTATTGTACGTACACAACCTTATGTTACATTTCTGCATGAGCCTATTTTCATGACTTGAACCAGTAATCTCCTGGTCACACGACGGCTACTCTTACCATGTACTAAGTCTCCCCTATTAAGCAATAATGATATGTATGAGGAATATTAGAACAAGTATATCATTTAAGGAAAGCGACTGAGAGAGGGGAAGAAGGTCATATATACGTGGAGCAGTCTGTGGAGGGGTTGATCTCGGCGTGAACTTCGACTTCACAAATGCCAGGGAGATCATTGGCTTTGTCCCAATCGATCCCGGGGATAGCCCTTCCAGCAAACTGCATGCAAGTGCATGCAGTTTGACGATGGCGTTGGGTGTTTGCAGCACTATGTAAAGCCTTAACACCAGCGCAACAACTTCCCAAATCTCCAGTATTTGTAAGGTAAGAGAGACAACCCATCAAGTTATAAGTGACTTGATAGCATGTCAGGGCTTCTGCATGGCGGGGTGTAGCCACCGCCATCCAGAATAGCACCAAGCATGCAATCTTTCCGTTCATATTGAAAATTTTAGGAGAAATAAGTACAAAAGTGAAACAATTAATGTTTTGGGAGTACAAGTGTTGGGTACAAAATCTTCTACCACCTTAGGGTTTTTATAAGGAGAAAATTGTGTTTAAGTGAAATACTATGGTCTATGGATGAAGCTTCTCATTAAAGTTTGACCACTCTGACGATATAACTGTTAAGAATCGTTAGTTATATTATACTCCCTCCATTTTAATGTATATGAAATATTTTGACTCGACACAGTGTTTAAAAAAAACAAAAAGTCAATGAGTAAAACAAAAACTTTAGTTAACTTATTTCTAACTACAAAAGTATGTCATTTTTTTTCAAACGGACTATTAAAAAATAATATGTCATACAAATTGAAACTGAATCATTTTTCTCCATCCAAAAGTATAGTTCCTTTTGGTTTTCAAGAGTGAAAAAAGTAAATTGAACTTTTATTTAAAGTTTATTTTCAGAAGTACGTACCATTTAAGACTCTTTTTATTTTTAAAATAAACACTTAAGTTGACCCGGCACTAGAAAGGGTATAGTTTTGCAATGAATAGAGTAGACTTTAAGCATTGCCCTCCCAGGTGAATATGAAAATGCCTTTTTGAGATCTGCACTTCCTCGATGAAAATAATTGCACCATCCCAATAATTTTACCAATAGCAATGTATTCGTACATTGTGGAAGGAGAAAATTGATTTTATTTTAGGTATATTTTAACTCTATGAATTGGATGTGGATAATGGTATGAAGGGCAAATACTTAAGTAAACTTTACTTTTCTTCCTGCGTTTCTATCCGACCCAGGAAAGGTAACTATTTTTTCCCCTCTTTCTAAATAAATTATTTGCTATGTATATGACGGGATTAAGCACTCTTCTTTTGCATCATATACAGATTTAAAATGCTGTATGTTTACCTTAAAAATGAGTAACAATTGAATTTATATCCTATTTAAAGGATATGTGATCTAATTTAACGCGAATGATCTAAGGACAGTAAATAATTGAATTAAAGGAACACAAAGCGATCAAACCAAATGTGATGAATGATTAAGTCTAGCTTTACAATAGGCGCTGGAAATTGACTCTAGTCGAGCCTCTGATACAGGCTCGGTAGAACCCAAATAAATGAGCAGTCGAAGAACACTTTGAACAGTAGCTAGAGAACAAAAGTGAACTTTATTCCTTTGATAAGCATGCCAACAGTGATCTTCATAATAAAAGGTTCCCCTTTATATAGTAGGGGAGTTTCAATCCTAGAACAAGTCTAAGTAAGATAAAAAAATACTTTTCCACCTAGTTAATAATGATATATAGTTGATATCGGGCGAGATTTGCCCCGTAATATCCGGTTGAGGGCAGATATTTCAGCCCGTCGTTTATCCTGTTCAATCGTCATTTCACTTAGTCTTGATTCATCACTTTGCTCGAGTCCAATGCTTGGCCGTGTCCAGTCCCGGGTGCACCATTCGTCCTCCCCGGGCTCGGATCCATGGAATCCCTCTACTTTACTCGAGGCAATGTCATGTCGTGTTTTCCTCTTGTTTATTTACCGGAAAATCGGGGGTAACTTCATCCCCGATTTTACCATACACATATAGTCACCTTATTTTTGGAGAGCAGATTTATTGAAATGACGAGAAGTGATTAGCTGACCGCGTTTCTTCCTCCGTACGATAAAAACGAGTTGATAACTCAGCAAAACGTCCCATCAATCGCGTTGTTCTGACTTTGGATACGTGTCAGCCGCCAGTTGACCATCCTCAGTAGGCATCGAATGCGAAACGTCACGCATTAAACATTTCCCTTCTATAAAAGCTTCGATTTCCCTTTTTCACTTTTTTATTTTTCGATTTCGAATCTTCTTGAGTTATCCTCGAAATTTTTACTTGTTCATCATTCTCACAAACCTTTAGAACTTATACTTCACATTTTTATTTCTTCATCCTCGATCTTCAAATCTTCATCTTTCTCCTTTAAATCTTCAAGCCAGACCTTCAAATCTTCGTACCCATCTTCAAACATTTATACCCAGCCTTCAAATCTTTCATATTTCCATATAACAATGGGAAAAACTTAAAAATCAGTGCCCCAAAGCATTGCTCCTTCAACCTCTACTCCACCGCAAATATCGAGGAGACCCTTCAGGTAGCAGCCTTGGAACCTCCTTTTAAAAATTTTACCCCAGGATGCTGCCCCATAGATAAAGAATTTAAGGTCAAAAAAGCCTTAAAAGAGGGATCAAGGTGAGGAGGCGTGGAGGTATATCTGCTCCATCATCGAAGATATGCTCCCGGTGGTCCGGGAGGATTACTAAGTGTGAAGGCAAAGACGTAGTCATCACCGGTTCCAATCAGGACGCACGTGGAGGGTCATTTAAGTGTTTACATGTACCCCTTTATGCTAGGCCCAATGGACACGGTGGTGCTCGACTTCTGCAAGAGGTACGAGGTCTGCCTCAGGCAGATCCACCGGATCATTTGGAGGATCGTGACCCTCCTTCACCATTTTCCAACAACACGGAGGAGCCCGGTTCACGATCGACCATTTGATCTGTGCCTATAACCCCCGAATCTTCTGAGGTGGGTTAATCAAGCTTGCCCGACAGGAAAAAAAGGCTTCCTTCTCGAGCATCGACGAAGACAAGGAACGAGGCTGGCATGGGAGATTTGTTCGGGCAATGACCAAAGATCTACTTCCCTCAAATTTCATGTCGTTCCCTGAGAACTGGAACTCAACATGTAAGTTCATCTCCTCCTAAGTTGTTAAACTAACTCTTTAAATTTATTCTTCTTTCTCATCACTCGACTTTCCTGATATGCAGCGGTCACTCAGGTCCCCAATGCAGTTCCTCATTTCAAGGGGTGGGTCGAGGGTATCTGCAAGAAATTGATATACTCCGAGCGCGAGTGTCGAAAAACATTCTAGAGTCAAATGGGAGGCCTGTTACGTTCTGATAGTGAGTGTCCTTCTTCTCCTTATTGAATTTCCATTTTATCGAAACTTTGACCAAGTCCCTTCTTTTTTCACAGGTTTGCCCAAGAACACCGAGCTTCGGGCAATTACTGAGGCTGTGGCTTCGTCCCAATCTGCAAAATCCTCTACTTCGGTACATCCTACCACTGAGTCTTCTAGGAAGGAGGAGGAGGAAACAAGAAAGAAGAAAAGGCCCTCGGACGCTCCCACCGAGGCCAACAAAAAGAGTATTATGGTCAGAGTCAGAAAGAGTACAAAGAAAGGTACCTGGGCTAGGGTACCAGACCCCAACTCTCTTTACGGGCTCAGGGACTACCTTGAAGATGATGACATGGAGTTCGCCGCTCATGAGCTAGCCGACACTGCACAAGAGCGGACATCATCGGAGGGAAGTGACTGTAAGGCCGAACCCTCTTTAGCTCGAGAAGTCACCCATATTTCGATAAGAGCAGCCGATGTTATTGATGTCTCGGAGTCGCCATCCTAAACAGAGACACTTTTCAATGAGGTTCAGGCCGCTTCAGAGAAACCAACTGTGGCTTCACAGGCCGCAGATGAAGCCCTTAACTTGTTCTTCGATGGTATGGACATCGATGCGCTGGAGGACTACTCCAGCTTTGGCCACCTGGAGTTGCTGATAAGGGATGTGCTTCCAGGGTCAAGCGGGTTGAGTTCGAGCCAAAAGATTGTAAAGCAATTCCCCACCCCGAGCGCGATCCCTGACCGTAAGAAGATGGTTGTGTTTACAGAACCAGCGGATACCAGGATGCTATCCGGGCTAGTCAGTCTAGCTAGCTACCTCTGTTCCTTAGTAATCGATGAGGACCAAGCGAAGATGAATGAAGTTGACACACCGACCCTCTTCAACGAGGTACATCAAGCGTCGAACAAGGTATGTTTTCTTTTCTTCATTTCTTTAAAGAGTTCATTTGCCTTAGCTGATTTTAAAGATTTTTGCTCCCTTTTTTATGCTTCAGGACTCGATGCTTCATCACAAGAGCTTCCATCAGTCTCGAATATAGGTTATTCTCCTTGAGTTCCCGCTTAAGAAGGAGGTCCGGCAAAAGGACCTATACAAAGCTCTTTGTGAGCAAAAAGACGAAGTCCTCAAAGACCACTCCGTCCTCCAAGTCGAGTTGGATAAAGCTCAAAGGGAGACCGAGAAGGTGAAACAGAAACATGCCTTCCTGGTTGAGAAGGTAAGAGTGTTAGAGATTAATAATGAGAGGTTATGCACAAATGCTAATTCTGCAACCTCGCAGGTCCAATATAAGATAGACCTGATTGACCAGCTCAGGGCCAAAATGAACAAGGTCAAAGCCTTAACCGAGGAGTTGAGGAGCATAATGGATCTCCTAGCCTCAGAGAGTGATGCCACCAAAGAGGATTTGGCATCAACCAAAGTCTAGCTCCGGGTGATGAGGGAGAAAGCCGACAAATGGTCTCGGCTAAATGAGGAACTCCAGGCATAACTCGACTCGGCAGTTCAGAACGACATGCTCTTGGTCAAGAATACACCGCGCTGAAGTCCCGATTGGAGGTAGCTTCGAACGAGGCCTATGAAGTTTAGGATATGTTGGCCCGGTATAAGAATGTCGCGGAAGTAACCGAGGCCCGTATAATAACAAAGGTCGAGTGCGTGAAATAGAAATCTCGGAGGGTGATCCTTGAGGAGATCCATGACTGAGGGACCGAACTAGCATCCAACATTGAAGAAGCGAAGAGACTTGAGTCCGAGACCAGAGAGAGATACCAACCCGATAATTGTACAGTGAGTCAGGCTCCGGTGAAGACTAGGGGGAAATGCCTTTGTTTATTTTTTGTCTTCCTTTGTATTTATGTATTTTTTGGTTGTTTCACAATGCCTCTGCAAATACCTTTTTGGTATATATGTATATAAAAACTTTTCTTCGGCTATGCATTGTGTCTTTTATTTTTCTGTATTTGCTTATTATATGTCGTAGATGCTTTAGCGTAGAATCCGACATCATTTAAATAGTTCGTTCACCTAAAGCCTGAATGAGGTCTAGATTAAGTGATAACTCCAATTTTCTTTGGCTTTGGAGGATCCAATTAAAAATGAAACCTTTGTAAAAAATTTAAACGTTTTGGCCGAACACAATCA